GGATCCCGGCTGGACGGCTCATGGCTGGCTGACGGATCTGGCTGCTCATGGCTGGCTGACGGATCTGGCTGCTCATGGCTGGCTGACGGATCTGGCTGCTCATGGCTGGCTGACGGATCTGGCTGCTCATGGCTGGCTGACGGATCTGGCTGCTCATGGCTGGCTGACGGATCTGGCTGCTCATGGCTAGCTGACGGATCTGGCTGCTCATGGCTGGCTGACGGATCTGGCTGCTCATGGCTGGCTGACGGATCTGGCTGCTCATGGCTGGCTGACGGATCTGGCTGCTCATGGCTGGCTGACGGATCTGGCTGCTCATGGCTGGCTGACGGATCTGGCTGCTCATGGCTGGCTGACGGATCTGGCTGCTCATGGCTGGCTGACGGATCTGGCTGCTCATGGCTGGCTGACGGATCTGGCTGCTCATGGCTAGCTGACGGATCTGGCTGCTCATGGCTGGCTGACGGATCTGGCTGCTCATGGCTGGCTGACGGATCTGGCTGCTCATGGCTAGCTGACGGATCTGGCTGATCCTGTCTGGCAGAAGGCTCTGGCTGATCCTGTCTGGCAGAAGGCTCTGGCTGATCCTGTCTGGCAGAAGGCTCTGGCTGATCCTGTCGGGCGGAAGACTCTGGCTGATCCCGTCTGGCGGAAGGCTCTAGCTGATCCTGTCTGGCGGAAGGCTCTGGCTGATCCCGTCTGGCGGAAGGCTCTGGCTGATCTTGTCTGGCGGTAGGCTCTGGCTGATCCTGTCTGGCGGAAGGCTCTGGCTGATCCTGTCTGGCGGAAGGCTCTGGCTGATCCTGTCTGGCGGAAGGCTCTGGCTGATCCTGTCTGGCGGGAGGCTCTGGCTGATCATGTCTGGCGGAAGGCTCTGGCTGATCCTGTCTGGCGGAAGGCTTTAGCGGCTCCTGTCTGGCGGAAGGCATTAGCGGCTCCGGTCTGGCGGACGGCTCTGAAGGCTCATGGCAGACGGGCGGCTTAGCAGGCTCAGTACATACGGGCCGTTCATGCAGCGCTTGGCATACGGACAGTTCAGACGGCGTTGGGCAGACGGGCAGTTCAGGCAGTGCTTGGCAGACGGACAGTTCAGACGGCGTTGGGCAGACGGGCAGTTCATGCAGTGCTTGGCAGACGGACAGTTCAGACGGCGTTGGGCAGACGGGCAGTTCATGCAGCGCTTGGCATACGGACAGTTCAGACGGCGTTGGGCAGACGGGCAGTTCATGCAGCGCTTGGCATACGGACAGTTCAGACGGCGTTGGGCAGACGGGCAGTTCAGGCAGTGCTTGGCAGACGGACAGTTCAGACGGCGTTGGGCAGACGGCAGACTCTGGCCGGCCGAGACGCCCTATAGGCCTGGAACGTAGTGCCGGAACTGGAGGTACCGGGCTGAGGCCACGCATCTCAGGGCTACTGCGAGGAGCAGCAACAGGGCATGCTGGACCCTGGGGACGCACACAAGGCCTAGTGCGTGATGCCGGAACTGGTGGTCCCGGGCTGAGAACACGCATCTCAGGGCTAGTGCGGGGAGTAGCAACAGGGCATGCTGGACCCTGGGGACGCACACAAGGCCTAGTGCGTGGTGCCGGAACTGGTGGTCCCGGGCTGAGGACACGCATCTCAGGGCTAGTGCGGGGAGTAGCAACAGGACGCACAGGACTCTGGGGACACACAGGAGGCTTGGTGCGTGGTGGAGGCACTGGTGGTACTGGGCTGGAGCGGGGAGGTGGCGCCGGAAATACCGGACCGTGCAGGCGTACTGGCTCCCTTGAGCACTGAGCCTGCCCAACCTTACCTGGTTGTATGCTCCCCGTCGCCCGACCAGTACGGGAAGGAGGAATAACCCGCACCGGGCTATGTAGGCGAACCGGGGAAACCATGCGTAAGGCTGGTGCCATGTATGCCGGCCCGAGGAGACGCACTGGTGGCCTGCTGCGTGGGACCGGCTTCATGACATCCGGCTCAACGCTCAATCTAGCCCGGCCAATACGAGGAGCTGGAATGTACCGCACCGGGCTATGCCTGCGTACAGGAGACACCATGCGCTCTACTGCGTAACATGGTGTCTGCCCGTACTCTCGCTCGCCACGGTAAGTACAGGGAGTAGGCGCAGGTCTCCTACCTGACTTCGCCACACTCCCTTTTAGCCCCCCCCCAAGAAATTCTTGGGTAGTACCCACGGGCTTCCAGCCTCGACTCCGCGCTGCCTCCTCGTACCACCTCCTCTCGGCTGCAGCTGCCTCCAGCTCTTCACGAGGGCGGCGATATTCTCCCGGTTGTGCCCAAGGACCCTTTCCATCCAAAATCTCCTCCCATGTCCAAGAATCCTTGATAGGCGTCCATAAATCCTGTGTAGGTAGGTCCTGTTGCCGCTTGACACGCTGCTTGGTCCTTTTATGGTGGGTTTTTCTGTCACGATCGTCTTGAGAATGAGCGGACCAAAGCGCAGCGTGTTGAACGAACATGACTTTATTGAAGAAAGCGCACACACGAAAACAAAACGAAACAAAACACGATCGTGAAGTCCTCAGTGACACAAACACGGAACACAGGAACAAAGGAACAAAAACCCACAAACACAAGGTGAAAACACACACTTTAAATATGGCTCCCAATCAGAGATAACGAGCCGACAGCTGACACTCGTTACCTCCGATTGGGAGTCACAAGACCAATTACCCCAAAAACACAAACAAATGAAACGCACCCATACCCAACACCACCAAATGAAATACACCCTGACTCTAACTACACAGTCCCAGAGCCAGAGTGTGACACTTTGGTCTTGGCCATGGTGGAGAGTTTGGAATCTGATTGATTGCTTCTGTGGACAGGTGTCTTTTATACAGGTAACAAACTGAGATTAGGAGCTCAGCTCGTTACCTGAATAAAAGACACCTGGGAGCCAGACATATTTCTGATTGAGAGGGGGTGAAATACTTATTTCCCTCATTAAAATGCAAATCAATTTATAACATTTTTGACATGCGTTTTTCTGGATTTTTTTGTTGTTATTCTGTTTCTCACTGTTCAAATAAACCTACCATTAAAATTATAGACTGATCATTTCTTTGTCAGTGGGCAAACGTACAAAATCAGCAGGGGATCAAATACTTTTTTCCCTCACTGTATGGAATAGGGTGCCATTTGGGACGAGGCCTAACTCTTACCAAGCACTATAGCATGAGGTTAGATTTATGACGTGTTGAATTTATATGTTAAATATACAGGATACGAACATTCCATTCCAGCTAAACAATGGATATATAGCGTTTATCAACAAAAACAATTGTAATACACATCTAAAATCTATGAATAAAACATCTGATATAAGTAATATTGTACAGACATATAAAGTTATCCATAAGAGAGATAATATGTGTGTACGAAATGAATATACTACAGATGAGGAGCCGCCAATCTGAACATGCAGCTAGAAATACACTACCGTTCCAAAGTTTGGGTTCACTTAGAAATGTCCTTCTTTTCGAAAAAAAAAGCAATTTTTTTGTCCATTAAAATAACATCAAATTGATCAGAAATACAGTGTAGACATTGTTAATATTGTAAATGGCTATTGTAGCTGGAAACGGCTGATTTATTATGGAATAAATCTACATAGGCGTACAGAGGCCCATTATCAGCAACCATCAGTTCTGTGCTCCAATGGCACGTTGTGTTTGCTAATCCAAGTTTATCATTTGAAAAGGCTAATTGATCATTAGAAAACCCTTTTGCAATTATGTTAGCACAGCTGAAAACTGTTGTGCTGATTAAAGAAGCAATCAAACTGGCCTTCTTGAGACTAGTTGAGTATCTGGAGCATCAGCAATTGTGGGTTCGATTACAGGCTCAAAATGGCCAGAAACAAATAACTTTCTTCTGAAACTCGTCAGTCTATTCTTGTCCTGAGAAATGAAGGCTATTCCATGCGAGAAATTGCCAAGAAACTGAAGATCTCGTACAACATTGTGTACTACTCCCTTCACAGACCAGCGCAAACTGGCTCTAACCAGAATAGAAAGAGGAGTGGGAGGCCCCGGTGCACAACTGAGAAAGAGGACAAAGAAAAAGCCATATCTCAGACTGCCCATCTTAATATTTTATTTTTATTGGCCAGTCTGAGATATGGCTTTTTCTTTGCAACTCTGCCTAGAAGGTCAGCATCCCGGAGTCGCCTCTTCACTGTTGACGTTGAGACTGATGTTTTGCGGGTACTATTTAATGAAGCTGCCAGTTGAGGACCTGTGAGGTGTCTGTTTCTCAAACTAGACACTAATGTATTTGTCCTGTTGCCCAGTTGTGCACCGGGGCTTCCCACTCCTCTTTCTATTCTGGTTAGAGACAGTTTGACCTGTTCTGTGAAGGGAGTAGTACACAGCGTTGTACGAGATCTTCAGTTTCTTGGCAATTTCCCGCATGGAATAGCCTTCATTTCTCAGAACAAGAATAGACTGACGAGTTTCAGAAGAAAGTTATTTGTTTCTGGCCATTTTGAGCCTGTAATCGAACCCACAATTGCTGACGCTCCAGATACTCAACTAGTCTCAAGAAGGCCAGTTTTATTACAGTTTTCAGCTGTGCTAACATAATTGCAAATTGGTTTTCTAATGATCAATTGGTCTTTTAAAATGATAAACTTGGATTAGCAAACACAACGTGCCATTGGAACAGAGGACTGATGGTTGCTAATAATGGGCCTCTGTAAGCCTATGTAGATATTCCATTAAAAATCACCTGTTTCCAGCTACAATATCTATTTACAACATTAACAATGTCTACACTGTATTTCTGATCAATTGGTTGTTATTTTAAAGGACAAAAAAATTGCTTTTCTTTAGAAAACAAGGACATTTCTAAGTGACGCCAAACTTTTGAACGGTAGTGTATATGCAACTCCTTTTTAGTACAGAAAAAATATGAGTGACTTCATGATACTACTCTGTTTGTACATGTCCTCTATGAGTTCATCCCTGCCCTTCACCCTGGTCGTGTCAATAGGCTGGAGAAAGCAGCAGAAAAGACAGACATGAGGGGAGCAAGAAGGAGGAGGCAGGACCTGGACGGTGGGCGTGTGCTTTTAGAGACTCCTGGTTAATCTCTTCCTGGTTGGACGGGCTCAGGGCATCAGCGTTGGCAGCTGGTTGGTTACGACTGGAGCACATGTCATACAGGTTTCCAGAAAACTGCATCTTCTTGGACTCCTGTCGCAGAGACTCCCAGACAGCAGAAGCCTCATCTGGACACCAGGCCATCGCCACGTTTGCACAGTCATGAAACTCATCCCAGGACCTGTAGGGGGTGGAACAGAGATGGTCACATGCAGTGCATTCGGAAAGTATTCAGACCCCTTGACTTTTTCCACATTTTGTTACATTACAGCCTTATTCTAAAATATATTAAATAAACAATCCCCCCCACCCAAAAAAACAACAACAACAACAACAACATCAATACCTTATTTACATATACATATTCAGACTATTTGCTATGAGACTCAAAATTGAGCTCAGGTGCATCCTGTTTCCATTCATCATCCTTGAGATGTTTCTACATCTTGATTGAGTCCACTTGTGGTAAATTCAATTGATTGGACATGATTTGGAAAGGCACACACCTGTCTATACAAGGTCCCACAGTTGACAGTGCATGTCAGAGCAAAAAACAAGCCATGAGGTCGAAGGAATTGTCCGTAGAGCTCCGAGACAGGATTGTGTCGAGGGACAGATCTGGGGAAGGGCACCAAAAAATGTCTGCAACATTGAAGGTCTCCAAGAACACAGTGGTCTCCATCATTCTTAAAAGGAAGAAGTTTGGAACCATCAAGACTCTTCCTAGAGCTGGCCGCCCGGCCAAACTGAGCAACGGGGGAGAAGGGCCTTGTTCAGGGAGGTGACCAAAAATTGTCACTCTGACAGAGCTCCAGAGTTCCTCTGTGGAGATGGGAGAACCTTCCAGAAGGACAACCATAACCATCTCTGCAGCACTCCATCAATCAGGCCTTTATGGTAGAGTGGCCAGACGGAAGCCACTCCTCAGTAAAAGGCACATGACAGCCCGCTTGGAGTTTGCCAAAATGCACCTAAAGACTTGCAGACCATGAGAAACAAGATTATCTGGTCTGATGAAACCAAGATTGAACTCTTTGGCCTGAATGCCAAGTGTCACGTCTGGAGGAAACATGGCACCATCCCTACGGTGAAGCATGGTGGTGGCAGCATCATGCTGTGGGGATGTTTTTCAGCGGTAGGGACTGGGAGACTAGTCAGGATCGAGGGAAAGATGAACGGAGCAAAGTACAGAGAGATCCTTGATGAAAACATGCTCCAGAGCGCTCAGGACCTCAGACAGGGGCGAAGGTTCACCTTCCAACAGGACAACGACCCTAAGCACACAGCCAAGACAACACAGGAGTGGCTTCGGGACAAGTCTCAATGTCCTTGAGTGGCCCAGCCAGAGACCGGACTTGAACCCGATTTAACATCTCTGGAGACACCTGAAAATAGCTGTGCAGCGACGCTCCCCATCCAACCTGATAGAGCTTGAGAGGATCTGCAGAGAAGAATGGGAGAAACTCCCCAAATACAGGTGTGCCAAGCTTGTAGCGTCATACCCAAGAAGACTCAAGTCTGAAATCGCTGCCAAAGGTGCTTCAACAAAGTACTGAGTAAAGGGTCTGAATAATTACGTAAATGTTATATTTCAGTTTTAATATTTTAATAAATTTGCTATAATTTCTAAAAACCTGTTTTTGCTTTGACATTATGGGGTATTGTATGTAAATTGATGAGGGGGGTGAAAACTATTTAATCCATTTTAGAATAAGGCTGTAACAAAACAAAATGTGGAAAAAGTCAAGGGGTCTGAATACATTCCGAATGCACTGTAGCTCTGGAGTTACATATGTCCATATCTTTCTATAATAGCCATGTTGTTCAAGACACTATCCATTATTAATCTGTTTGTAAAATATCCCCCATGAAACCATGGTTTTAGTTATGTTGTTGCTATGGCAAGGACTATGTGTAAGTCTGTAAGGAGGAGATTAGGCAGAAGCAGATTGGTCCAACACAACATCTTCCCGTAACACCACTCATAAACACCTTAGATTCACATTCCCTGGTTACAAGTTCAGAAAGGCTAAACTTGCACTGTATTTGGATATGGGCCCATAGTCTAAACTCAACCCTTAAACATCACATCTGTTGGGGGCTTAGGGGCATATGTTTACCGCACACACAGGAGACCTTGAGGGGAATGGGTGAAACAAAAAGGAAGCAAAATGCAGCCTTGCAAAGTCCCAGAGTCACATGTGCAGTGGAAAACAGCAGAGTAACAGCAGGTGAAGGGCAGCTTGTTTGCAATATCTGCCCGCAGTCTCTTTTCTGAATAAAATAATAAAGGATTGCTGAGGTGTTAGATTAAACACTTGTGAAGCATACACTGCATACTAATGCATAAACAAACCAAGATCACGGCCCGGGAAACAAGGACATTACCTGTTCTACTAACGACAGATTTTCCTTCATTTTTATTCTATACTCACGGTAAACTCTCCTATCATTCCATAGAGAATACTGACAGTGGTGCAGCCTTGGCCTAGATGCAAATCTGAGACTTTTATCCAGGAGAGAAAATACTGCCTTTCTACTTGTCCCTAATAGATTTGACCACATTCCTAGGAAGAGTGTGTGTGTGTGTGTATGTGTGTGTATATGCGTGCGTGCAATCGTGCGCGCGTGCAGACGTATGTATACACACATATGTAAGAGTACGCTTACTGAATGGCAGGGTTAGTACCTTAATTGGTACCTTAAGGAATATGACCAAAATAATAACATAATTGTAATGACCGCTATATCCCTGAAGATACCAAGTGTGTCTCCAGCTCCGCAATACTGAACAGCAACTCCCGACAGGACCTTCCTACATTGATGCAACAATGTGTCTGGGAATGGGTTGATCTTGATGGGGTGATGCATGGAGAGGCATCTTCCAGGGGGGTCATACCCTAGCTCAACACCAACAATTTAAAATATCATTCCAATCCCGATTAAAAGACAAATTCAGTTTAGCAATATAAGGGGCTGACTTTGGGACCATGCGGACGCCTGGGAGCGGGAGGGAAGGCTGTTTATATGGCTGGCTGGCTTTACGGAGAGCTCATCGACATGCAGAGGTAAAGATGGCTGTACTTTGGCTAGGTAACTGCTGTTTGACTTAATATGAAACTAAACTAGAGTGTAACCCCGGTGCTGAACTAGAGCATAGCAGCTAATATGTTTGTAGAATGTTAAGTCCCCTATTGACTGAGGTCAATGAAGCTACAGCAACAAGTTGATAATGTCTGGAGTCAATTTTGCTTATTTTTGCTGTTCTCCAAATTGCATTTTAGAGTTTTTAAATGAGCTTCAATTTTATAAAAATTCCTTGACATAATATTAAGATTGATTACAGACGCATGTAAAAATAGAATGGAAGGCGGAGATGGATAAAGAGAGACCCTCAATCTTTAATTAGGCACTCCAATATGCCTCCAGCAAATGGGAAGTGCTGTCAGGATGTTAGAGAGAGCTAGGGCATAAACACGGGGAAGAAAGAGAGAGAGACGGAGAGAATGAAATAGAGGTAAAGATCTGGTGAAGCCCATCGTTCAATGGTAATGAAATTATGGGTCACAGTGTTCTATCAATTTACACATTTTGGAGTGTGTGTTTAAAAATAACATATAGATGAGGGGATTTGTATATACTGTAAGTTCATAATAAATGTTATTGGTTCACCTGTCAGTGACTGTAGGGCTATAGTGTGTGTGTGTGTGTGTGTGGGTGGGTGGGTGGGGGGGATGCTTACTTGCAGATGGTGTGTATCTCCTGTGTGTCCTCATCTTTCTGGGCACTGTCAGTCAGGCTGTCTCCCAGAGCCATCAGACACTGAGCGAAGCCCTTATAGATGGAGTGACACCTCCTGGTGGAGGCAGCAGAGCTGGGACAGGGGCCGACGACTGGATGGAGACACAGAGACAGAGACATAGAGTATACCATCAGCACTCTCTCTATCCCTGGCTCACAATGGGGAGAAATGAGCATCAGGAGAGTTCAATACTGCCAAGCAGAGGACTTCTGAGTGGTTTTTGAAAATGTGTTTGGTTACTTAAACAAGCGGCAACAAAGCTCTCAGTCTTATAGAAGGCTTGACAAACCATGGATCCTCTATAGCTGGATCCTCCATATGTACACTACATGACCAAAAGTATGTGGACACCTTCTCTTTGAACATCTCATTCCAAAATCATGGTCATTAATATGGAGTTGGTCCCCCCGTTGCTGCTATAACAGCCTCCACTCTTCTGGGAAGGCTTTCCACTAGATGTTGGAACATGGCTGCGGGGACTTGCTTCCATTCAGCCACAAGAGCATTAGTGAGGTCGGGCACTGATTTTCGGCGATTAGGTCTGGCTCGCAGTCGGCATTCCAATTCATCCCAAAGGTGTTCGATGGGGTTAAGGTCAGGGCTCTGTGCAGGCCAGTCAAATTCTTCCACACCGATCTCGACAAACGATTTCTTTACGGACCTCGCTTTGTGCACGGGGGCACTGATATACTGAAACAGGAAAGGGCCTTCCCAAAAACTGTTGCCACAAAATTGGAAGCACAAAATGGTCTAAAATGTAATTGTATGCTGTAGCATTAAGATTTCCCTTCACTGGAACTAAGGGGCCTAGCCCGAACCAGCCCCAGACCATTATTCCTCCTCCACCAAACTTTACAGTTGGCACTATGCATTGGGGCAGGTAGCGTTCTCCTGGCATCTGCCAAACCCAGATTCCTCTGTCGGACTGCCAGATGGTGAAGCGTGATTCCTCACTCCAGAGAAGGCGTTTCCACTGCTCCAGAGTCCAATGGCGGCTAGCTTTACCCCACTCCAGCTGACGCTTGGCATTGCGCATGGTGATCTTAGGCTTGTGTGCGGCTGCTTGGCCATGGAAACTCCTTTCATTAAGCTCCTGACAAACAGTTATTGTGCTGATGTTGCTTTCAGAGGCAGTTTGGAACTCGGTAGTGAGAGTTGCAACTGAGGATAGAGGATTTTTACGCGCTACACACTTCAGCACTCGGCAGACCCGTTCTGTGAGCTTGTAGCCTAACACTTCGCGGCTGAGCCGTTGTTGCTCCTAGACGTCTCCACTTCACAATATTAGCACTTACAGTTGACCGGGGCAGCTCTAGCAGGGCAGACATTTGACGAACTGACTTGTTGGAAAGGTGGCATCCTATAATGGTGCCACATTGAAAGTCAGTGAGCTCTTCAGTAAGGCCATTCTACTGCCAATGTTTGTCTGTGGAGATTGTGTGGCTGTGTGCTCGATTTTATACACCTGTTAGCAACGGGTGTGGCTGAAATAGCCAAATCCACTAATTTGAAGGGGTGACCACATACTTTTGTATATTTTGTGTATCTATAGCTGTACATCTTCAGCTTTCCTGACATTGAGAGACACGGTTATGTTCCTTTGTCAGGCTATTTCAGATAGAGTACCTATGTCCTTGAAATCAGCATGGTTTTACACAATCCAAACTAATTGAATCTGAACAGCATGATGCACTGTGCCAACAACCAACCTTGAAACCTATTGATTTCGGGCAATGTTTGGCAGTGGGGGTCTAAGGATTATTGGTTTCACTCATCCCCATCAGAATTTAATGACCTAGAGAGAGCAGAGAGAGATAGACAAACGAGTGAATAGAGCCAAGAGAGATAGCGACAGTATAAGGAACTAGAGGGAAGAGAAGTGAAGAGGAAATTAACAGATGCGCCATCTATTGAGGAAGTAAAAAAAGAATGTATATGCTGGTCTATGTTGGTCGAAAAAGACCACGGTTGTCCAGCCCAGTTGTTCCACATATAAGCACATGTTGCTGCATTGTGTGTTGCTACTTTCCCCAATAGAAATGTGTCTTAATTGAACTACAGCAATATGCTAAGTCCCAGCGCCATGCACACCACGCCATGCCCCATCCCATGTCCCATCCTGGTCTGGTTCAATAAGCATCCTGTACAGGGCAGCAGATAGGCTGCTTTTGAGCCTCAATGTAAATATTTGATAGCTTGACAGAGCCTGGAGGAATCTATAGAGCGTTCCTATAAAAAAGCAGGCAGACTCAAGTCAGACAGACATGACTGATGAAGAAACTACAGACCTAACTGATGTAGTTGTTTCAGCCTTAAAGAACATTCAATTCATTTTCTATCCCTTCTGGTGTATTTTCATCACACTGGTTTTGCATTGATAATTTACCAAACTCCCCCCTCTCCATCAACAAAGATTGATGAAGACGTGCACATCTAGCTTCACATTCATTGAAGGTTAGGAATCTTGTGATTTTCTGTGCAGATCTTTTCTTTCAAGAGTATTGGCGTCATGAGAAAAAATATATAATTAAAGTGCAGATATCGATATCAAAAGGCTAGAGGGAAAAGTTTATATAAGTTCTATATGTCAGGCATCACAGCCATACTGTCTCTAGCACTACATACATTATAGACAACTGGATGCCAAAGGCACTGTATAATGTTGTTTTCCTGTCATTACAGCAATGTTCCAGGGGGCTTGTTACTGGAGTTTATTTGAGTCATGGTGATACTGCACATCAGAACTACCACAGTGGAGTCTTTGCTTCACTGTATTGACCTCCCTCTTCCACTTGAAGCCTCAGTAATGAACTGGCCTGTAAGCCAGGGTAAATACAGTGCCTTGCAAAAGTATTCATCCCCCTTGGTGTTTTTCCTATTTTGTTGCATTACAACCTGTAATTTAAATGGATTTTTATTTGGATTTCATGTAATGGATATACACAAAATAGTCCAAATTGGTGAAGAGAAATGAAAAAAATAACTAACGGAAAAGTGGTGTGTGCATATGTATTCACCCCTTTGCTATGAAGCCCCTAAATAAGATCTGGTGCAACCAATTACCTTCAGAAGTCACATAATTAGTTAAATAAAGTCCACCTGTGTGCAATCTAAGTGTCACATGATCTGTCACATGATCTCAGTATATACGCATGTTCTGAAAGGCCCCAGAATCTGCAACACCACTAAGCAAGGGGCACCACCAAGCAAGCGGCACCAAGGAGCTCTCCAAAGTTCAGGGACAAAGTTGTGGAGAAGTACAAATCAGGGTTGGGTTATAAAAAAATATCTGAAACTTTGAACATCCCACGGAGCAACATTAAATCCATTATTAAAAAATTGAAAGAATATGGCACCACAACAAACCTGCCAAGAGAGGGCCGCCCACCAAAACGCACAGACCAGGCAAGGAGGGCATTAATCAGAGAGGCAACAAAGATACCAAAGATAACCCTGAAGGAACTGCAAAGCTCCACAGCGGAGATTGGAGTATCTGTCCATAGGACCACTTTAAGCCGTACACTCCACAGAGCTGGGCTTTACGGAAGAGTGGCCAGGAATGGCTTAAAGAAAAAAATAAGCAAACACATTTGGTGTTCGCCAAAAGGCATGTGGGAGACAAACATATGGAAGAAGGTACTCTGGTCAGATGAGACTAAAATTGAGCTTTTTGGCCATCAAGGAAAACGCTACGTCTGGCGTAAACCCAACACCTCTCATCACCCCGAGAACACCATCCCCACAGTGAAGCATGGTGGTGGCAGCATCATGCTGTGGGGATGTTTTTCATCGGCAGGGACTGGGAAACTGGTCAGAATTGAAGGAATGATGGATGGCGCTAAATACAGTGAAATTCTTGAGGGAAACCTGTTTCATTCTTCCAGAGATTTGAGACTGGGACGGAGGTTCACCTTTCAGCAGGACAATGCCCCTAAGCATATTGCTAAAGCAACACTCGATTGGTTTAAGTGGAAACATTTGAATGTCTTGGAATGGCATAGTCAAAGCCCAGACCTCAATCCAATTGAGAATCTGTGGAGTGACTTAAAGATTGCTGTACACCAGCAGAACCCATCCAACTTGAAGGAGCTGGAGCAGTTTTGTCTTGAAGAATGGGCAAAAATCCCAGTGGCTAGATGTGCCAAGCTTATAGAGACATACCCCAAGAGACTTGCAGCTGTAATTGCTGCAAAAGGGGGCTCTACAAAGTATTGACTTTGGGGGTGTGAATAGTTATGCACGCTCAAGTTTTCTGTTTTTTTTGTCTTATTTCTTGTTTGTTTCAAAGTGGTAGGCATGTTATGTAAATGAAATTATACAAACCCCCCAAAATCAATTTTAATTCCAGGTTATAAGGCAACAAAATAGGAAAAATGCCAAGGGGAGTGACTACTTTCGCAAGCCACTGTAGCTGCATGCTATGAGTGGAGCACAGAGATCAAGGGGAGCAGTTGGAAGGATTCAGCAAAAGACAAGACTCACCAGTCAGAGCTGCTTAAAACACTGCTACTTATTCTTATTACTGCTCCTGATAATCTTCACATAATTGCTGGTCAGGGTGGAAAACGGAACAAGTCATTACCCAAATGAGAGAGCTTATGGTCCCGGGGGAGTTTGTAAGACTTTCTGGAAACCCAATATCTATAATCTGTCCTGCTGTATAATTAAGTAAAAATGAAAACAGAACAGCATGAGTTGAACTATACTGTACCAACATAATGTTTTGTATATGTTGTCTAAAATGTGCTCCCTTAAAACATCAATGTAGCTGATAACTATGAGTTTGGAGGAAATACACACATGTAAAACTGAATAATGTTGTATTTATAAAGTTCCATTCTGCATCACTCCATATATGATTAACCTCTTGAAGCATAAAAACAGTATGAAGTATAAGAATAGACAAGAGAAAAATAAACAGTCCCCTGTAATAAGTGGGTCTAGACGACCCACCCGGCAGACTGACGGGCTGAGTCTTTCTCGGCACATGCATGGCCAGGCATGACTCCAACACCATCATTAAGTTTGCCGACGACACAACAGTGGTAGGCCTGATCACCGACAACGATGAGACAGCCTATAGGGAGGAGGTCAGAGACCTGGCCGTGTGGTGCCAGGACAACAACCTCTCCCTCAACGTGACCAAGA